CCTCACTCACACTCCCCAGCGCACCACACACACACTCCTCCTCACTCACACTCCCCAGTGCACCTCACACACACTCCTCCTCACTCACACTCCCCAGCGCACCTCACACACACTCCCTCACTCACACTCCCCAGGGCACCACACACACACTCCTCCTCACTCACACTCCCCAGCGCACCTCACACACACTCCTCCTCACTCACACTCCCCAGCGCACCTCACACACACTCCTCCTCACTCACACTCCCCAGCGCACCACACACACACTCCCTCACTCACACTCCCCAGTGCACCACACACACACTCCTCCTCACTCACACTCCCCAGCGCACCACACACACACTCCCCCTCACTCACACTCCCCAGTGTACCACACACACACTCCTCCTCACTCACACTCCCCAGTGCACCACACACACACTCCCTCACTCACACTCCCCAGCGCACCACACACACACACTCCCTAGTGCGCCTCCCGCGCACACACACTGCTCCTCACTCACACTCCCCAGCGCGCCTCCCGCACACACACACACCCCCTCACTCGCACCACCTACTGCACCTCCCGCACACACACACATACACACACTACTTCACTCACACTCCCCAGCGCGCCTCCTGCACACACTCACACTCCCTAGTGCGCCTCCCGCACACACACACACTCCCCAGCGCACCACACACACACTCCCCCTCCCTCACACTCCCCAGCGCACCTCACACACACTCCCTCCCTCACACTCCCCAGCGTGTTGACTGCGTGCGGGCAGAGCGCACAGATACACATGCCTGTCCTGCTCTCTGACGCTCGGTGTTGTGCTGGAGCTGTAGTGTCCCTCAGTGTCCTTTCCCCTCCGCTGCCCAAACTCGGAGTCTCGCCTGAGGTCACTTCCCATTACCTATGACTAAGCTCTCAATAAACATTTTTAAGTGCATTTAATTCTTCTTTGTAGCACACAAGAACATTTGGCCCATCTAGCCTGATCGGTTGTTTAGAAACTAATTGATCTCATCCAGCTGTTTCTTGAGAGAAGTCAGGGTATTGGGTTCAACAACATGGCTGGGCAGCTTGTTCCACACTCCCACTACCCTCTTTGTAAAGTAGAGCCTCCTGTCCTGACTGGAGGATCTCATCCAGCTGTTTCTTAAGAGAAGCCGGAGTATCAGCATCACTGTTTCGAAAGAGAGTGTTCGAAAAACAGTATGGCGTTGTAGCTGGCGTCTCAAAACCTGTTTTGTCAGGTTTGCTAGATCTTGGATCTTGTATTTGCTGTCTGTCTTTAATGAGCACTTTGCCTCCAACGGCACCTGAGACAGCCACACCGATGCACACACAGCGAGACAGGACATCCTCTGCCGTTCAGATACGTGCTGTAGTGGTTTTGCCTCCTTCATTTTCGGGTCAGGTATTAGACAGCTCCTTGATCACTCGGGGGGGGCGCGGGTGAGTTCTCAGAAAGTCACACGTTTAAAGAAAAAAAAGCTCAGTGCTCCCCGATCCAGCCCAAGATCCAATCAAACTGGGTCACCTGGTGTACCGGGCCAGCCCTGGTGCACTGGGTCAGGACTATTCCTGGGAAGCAGACATAACCTGCTTCTCAGCTGCACCTGGCTTTACCATGTTTTCACTGCTGTTTCTGAATGTGCTCTGCCTGCTCCTTCCTCGACTGGACCACAGGGAAACAGCCCGCTCGCCCTAAGAAACTTCTCTCAAGCTTGGCTACAACAGAGGGACATTGCGGTTTTCCGTTAACCTGGGGGGAAACTTCACTGCAGAGGAGTCAAAGCGTTTGCAATAATATCGGCCTCTGTGGGGCAACGTGATATTCCCCACCACCGCGTACAGATCTGTAGCCAAGAGTGCCAGTCCAGCAAAAAAAAAAAACACACAAGCACACTCTGTATTTTTCTCCACCAATGTAAAAATATATCTTCGTACGGAACTGATCAAAAGCTTAGAAACACCACAGACAAGAGGGGGCCCGTTTTGTAGTTAATAGTTAACGGATGTCAGGATGTCTCATCCAGCTGGTTCTCGAAAGAAGCCTGGGTATTGGCCGGGCATCTTGTTCCCCACTCCCTCCACCCTTTGCGTAAAGTAGTGGCCCCTGTTCTCGGTTTTAAATGCACTTCTACATTGTTTCCACTCGTCTCCCGTGCTTGGGGGGTCTCGCTGGGCATTCTGGAGAATGTCTCGTCCCCCTTGCCGTCTCCTCTCTTCAAGACAGAGAATACTGTGCTGTCTTCGCAGGGTGTTTCTAAGCTTTTGTAGGAAAACGTGAAGGAGAAAGATGCACTCGCCTTCGCAGAGCACACACACAGCACCACAGTACGCCCACGCTCGTTAACCAGTTAACCGGTTAACCAGGCAAGGTCACCAGGTACCAGTTAGCGAGATCAACACTTAACTCCGGATCCCAGGAAGACCTATTCTTCCCACGACATTCCTTTGTGATGCAAAAAAAAAAACAAAGAAAGAAAGAAAAAAAACAAATCCAAAACACCACATAAGACATGAACAAATGGGAACCAAAAGTCAAATGAACAACCGATAATAAAAACATGAACAGAAGCTAAAATAAAAAAAAACAGGCAAGGTGACACCCCTACAGAAGCACCCGCATCCTCCAAATCCCTCTTCTTTCTTTTCATTTCAGGGATTTGCACTAGACTAGACAGATTCTCCTGAAGAGGTTTCTAATTCTGACTGCTGTCTCCAGGACAAGGTCGTGGGGGAGCCGGAGCCTATCCCAGCATGCAACGGGCACAAGGCAGGATACACCCTGGACGGGACACCAGTCCATCACAGGGCAGACAGTTGTTAGCACACACTGACAACAGGGACAGTTTTCCCAGAAGCCAATTCACCTACCAGCGTGTCTCTGGACTGTGTGTTGAAACTCACGTGTACATGGGGCGATCATGCAAACTCCACACAGACAGCACCCTTGTTCCTGAATTAAACCCAGGGGCGCCAGAGCTGGGAGGTAGCAATGCCCACCACTATGCCACCATGCCATCTGTTTAATTATCTTTATTTATTCATACTTTACAAAAACCTCCAACAACTGTATACACATTACAATTTTGTCCTGTCTCCTACACTGTCTCTGTCTCTCCTGTTCCTACTGTCCTGTCTCCTACACTGTCTCTCCTGTTCCT